GGCTAGGAAGCATAGCTACGAGATTATCTGGTTTTCACCCTCAGTTCTTCTTCTTTACGTCACCTAATTCTTTCTCTTAAATTCAATTCCAGGGAGTAGAGAAATGAAGTTGGAGAAATGAGAAGAGGTTCTTCGTCCATGATTGGGGGCATAATCTTCACCAATGTGGCACCCCATACACGTAGGGAGGCCTCGTGTACATGTCTGCGTGTGTGTGTGTGTGTGTGTGTGTGTGTGTGTGTGTGTGTGTGTGTGTGTGTGTGTGTGTGTGTGTGTGTGAACGTACACGACCTCTACATGACCTTATATGCAGCGACGTACAAGGAAAAAGAGAAGAAAACAAGATAAAAGAACAGAAAGGAAAAATATATGTTATGCAGCACTGCACGAAAGACAACGTTTGGCTGCGAGTCATTTCGAAACTCAGCGCCAAATCCGATGGGTAAAAAAAATACAAATCTGTATGACCGTACTATGACGTACGCATATCTAATTTTGGTACCACGTACGCATATGGGTTATGGGTTCCACAGTACAACACAGGGTATAGGGTATTGTTTATTAAAAATTCAGTTGCATTGCTCTGAAGAGTCTGAACTCTTGTATCTGGAATCTGGATCTCTCGGGAGGGGTTGAGGCTTGAGAATGCCAAGGTAGCTTCCATGAGGGACTGGTCGAGACCGCAGTCTGTTATGAAGGTAAGAAGATCTTTCTTTACGATTGCTGGAGTAGATCGTTTCTTCAGATATGAATCTGCAACTGAACTCAATGAGTGAGTCATTACTTAATACAGTGAACACATGGAGTACATGGCATGTGAGAATGTCGTAATCATCCTTCTGCCTCCTGCTCAGATAGCCACTCCTTTGACTGATCTTATTTGACTTAGTACACCTTGGGAATGGAGTAAGGAGCGTGAACAGGCTTCCCTCACTAACTACCCTGTTCCAAAGACTGTAGAACCTGATGAGTCATTTGCCGTTACCACTGATGCCAGTCGGTAAGGGATACGTGCAGTGCTACAGCAAGGCGAGGGTGGTAACTTGAGACCAGTGGAATAGATGTCTGAAAACACGTCAGCTCGTAAACTAGCAAATTCCACCTAGCAGAGGGAGTCATGCACACTCTATATGACCCTCAAACACTGGAAGCATTAATTCCATGGCCTCAGTGGCCCTCAGTGAAGGCGGCCCAGCAAAATCCAGGGTAGCCGTAAGTGAAGGCCAGGGCCTCTTCGATGTTGAGGCCCCAGTGCAGGCGGGCAGGTGACTACCTGCTAAGCGCTTGTCGGGACGCAGACTGCACAGGTGCATCGGCTGCAGCCTGGGCCCGAAGGATTGCTAACCAGTAAGCCCCAGACCCTGGCCAAAAACAAAAAGTGGCCGGGCCATTCCAAGATTGAGCAGCGGGCAGTCTGGTGCGCCAGCACTGGAAGAGTGCTTGCAGTCAGCCAGCATTCAGGCGAACAGCAGCATAGCGGGAGCTGCTGGTATGTGCGCTGTAGCTGGAAGGCTGGATGTGCAGGGAAGATGGTGAGGACAAGGGGAAGGTCAGGCAAGGAGAGCAGCAGTGGGGACAGGCGGAGACTTACCTGGTGGACGTATCTGGTGAGCATGTAATGATGCCACAACAACAGATAACAGCAGCACTGAGCAGTAAATGAATGACAGGGTTGCGAAGTAGGGAAACAGGGTGAGGAAGGGACGTGCAATAACCCATGAAGTATGCCTCGTGGAATGTCTAAGGGCCTCGCCAGGCCACCACTCAGACCCAGGCCACAAGGGGAGAAAAGACCCCGAGTAAATTCAGGGCCTGAGCGGGCGACAGTTGACCGAAGTCAACTGCCTGACGCCCAACAGTCAAAGTCAAAATGGACCCAGCCCAGGCCGCCGGTCAGACGCACACACTTGTTTGTATGCAGGTACCCAGACAGCATCAGGACCAAGGGGAATTCTGCAACTGTATGCAATCCAGGCCCTCGGCTGTGAGTCAATCTGTACGACTGTGGGAAGGAGACCTGAGGCCAGGCTGCCTTTTCAAACGCTACAAAAGGCTTGGTCTCCAGGAGGTCAACATTCAGCCTTGCTATGCTGCCTAGACGCTGGCTTGACTCTAGCTGGACGCTGGCTGTGCGGTGGTACTGTGGACGACGACGCGCGACTGTAGCAGCATGCTGGCGCCTTCTCTGCTGAGCGCCAGCATGTGCTGACGTGGCGCATGCCACCTGTCTTCATTGCTGATGTGGCGCATGCCTCCTGTCTACATTGTTGATGTGGTGCAGGCCATCTGTCTTCAGTGCTGATGTGGTGCATGCCACCTGTCTACATTCCTGATGTGGTGCAGACCATCTGTCTTCATTGCTGATGTGGTGCATGCCACCTGTCTCTACTGCTGACGTGGCACTGGCCACGCTGTCTACATTAGGTGACTGGTTGCGACAATGGGAAATGGTACTCACCTGAGGTTGACGTCGATTCCGTGTACTGCTGTTGTCTTCATTGTCTCCACGAGATGATAGTGCCACATGGCACTTCTATGTGATCAGGACTTATCAGACTTGTTACTGTATATTGATTGATGATGTGGAGGCGAGAGGAAGCCCGGAGAAGGAGTGGGAAATTATTGGGCGACTCTTGTGTGGTCACTGATTATGTCTTCCACCCTCTCCTCTGTCTATTCCCCCTTCACTCTCTTCATCTATTGGCAACGAGATATTGTATCAGATATCACTTTCACGTTAACTGGAGACATTGTGCAGATCTGAGTGTACTGGCACTTCGACTTCTGACGAGTATCCTCCAGTCCGGGTTCATTACAGACGAGGCCAGGGTAACAAGACAGGTAGGATCTTTGAAAGGGCAGAGATAGATGGGATAGTCGGGTAGGTGCTGTACGGACAGTTTGACATAAGATCCCCTAAGGGGGGCTTTGCTGCAATAGGCCTCAGGATCGGGACACAGCACAGCTGGGAGTAAGAAAAAGTGAGCCGCACAGGAGGATGAAAGGATGGTCTTAACAATAGGCAGGGGTAGAGCAGAGGTACATGCTCCTTTCAGACGGAGCAATCAATGCCGCTGTCTCAGGGTCCTTCAAGCATAATTATGGAAGGAATGCGTGTGTTTTTCATGTTAGGGACCCTGAACCTGCCTTCCAGCACAATTTTGGCAGGGCGGCGGAGAGGTACATCTTCTTTCATAACAAGAAAAAAGGAAAGGGAGGTTCCGGAAATAAGAAGAAACAGAGGTAGGCTAGGCACCAAAGAAGGCTCTCAAGGGATATCTCAATAGGTTAGCTTTGGCAGGGGTGAGGGGAGGTACATACATCCTTGAATCCTTCCAATTGGAAGACTTAGTAATCAAAAAATGCTGCCCACTCGGAAATCTCAACCATAATGGGGAGAAGTGTTGGAGTCGTGTAAGCTTTGTATCTCTTTTCTACTTGCCGCCGTTGCCGGTGGAATAGGAACCAGACTGATGCTCCACAGAATGGACAAGAGCAAAAACTGTAAGGTTCTGTTGTATGAAGAAGAAGAAGAAGAAGGAAAAAAAGGACATCAGCTATGCAAACTCTTGAGACTAAGAGAGAGGAGGCTAGATGGAAGGCTAGAGTACAGAAGTAGTAAAGGCGGACACACATCATAGCCTGGGGACACTACTCTGTTGAAGTTGTATTGATTTATGGAGGCGTGGAGAGGGCTTTCGATATCAAGAGATTTAAGTGTTCAGTTTATTCTCCTCAGATTGGTGTGCTTGCTTGCAGCCTTGTCAATCCGCTTTCAGTTTCTAAATTTGATTGAGCATAAGCAATACCGTGTTTTTTGTTCGCATGGCGTTTTTAGTGTTATTTGATTGGCTTTTGCAAGTATGGTCTACTCATGCAATGTCTTCAGTGACTTCTTCTTACCTCTCAAAAAAATTCCTGTCCTCACTTGCTGGTTGTTTGCAAAAATTGTTTGTAATTCTCATTTCAGAAAGCTTGGAGATTACATCTTGCAGAAAAGACCGCCTTCCTCATGCCCTCCGCTTATTGATCTGTAGCCATCTGTCACAGCATCGTCAATCTGCTTTCACTTCTGTCTGCTCACGTGTTATGAACTTGGTTGTCTGGCGATTTTTTACCGCCGCTCACACACAGACAGTCTCATACACGCCCATACATGCATAAGAGAAGGGGGAGAGGAGACAGAGTCCAAACTGTACACAGATCAGAGTAGGCAGCGAAAGTTCAACGATGCACAGATGGGGAGGAAACACTCCGTGTTTCCCTCTCTCTGACAAACTCCCAACAACCAATCACAAGAAGACACCTGCGAGGATAACAATCGGAATTCACACTGATGATGAGCCAACTCAAACCAAATATCGTTACAGAGTTTGTTCCAGTAACTCGCCACCCTCAGAACTCCACACCCCACTCTCTACCCTGCACCCAGTTAGTAGCACAACACCGAAATGGCCTCCCAGAGGCCAGCGCCAACCACCCAGATGAAGAACAGATCCTGCGATGGAGTCTTCAGTGCCGATGAACAACTCTGATGAAGGAACAGGCAGCTATGGCTGCCGCTACCCACAAACACTCAGTGAAGAGCCTCAGTATAGCCCGGCCAGACGCAGATACCCAGCAAGGATAGATGCGCTGAGGATGCCCCAGCTCTGGCAACCTTCAGAGGGCCAGCTATGGCTGCCATCCACGGCGAGGGTCTCAGGAGGCCGCCTGTAGACAATCACCACCACCAACTCGCTTGGCTTCTCCAAACCCTGCCCCGCGAGAATGAACAACCCAAAAGTCCTGAATCGACTTCCCCAAACTATTAATAGAACTACATGACCCTAGCCTAGACCTAGACCCGACTGACTGGACCGACCGGTACCGTTCCAGTTTCGGCCTCTTGGCCTCTCCCTACCCGGCTATAGGCTATAGGACCGTCTATCGGTATAAGCCCCTTCGGGCCTGTCCGTCCTAGGGGTAGCCCGGGTCTGCTACACGCAGTTAGGGTAGCTGTAGGAAATCCGACGTGGTGCTGGGCCTATATTTCCCATATTTGCAGATATGCCCCTCACGAATTTTCCTTACAGGTAGGTCTCTCGGTTAGCCCTCAGCCAAACAAAATTACGAATCCAACCTACCGCTGTACTGTACATCCTCGCAGTCAGTCTCGGCAGTCAAAATCAGGAAGTCATTGCACATGCATGTTCTTCACTGAGTTCTTGCTGCTTGAAATTTCTCTGTTCCCACATGCTGGTTCTTTGCAATTACTACAAATGCTCATTCTTATAAAGCTGGGAGTTTACATACATCTTCCATCACACACGACCTTACCTTCCTCATACATCAGCGATGTCCACCGCTTATCGATCCATAGTCCCTCTCTCCCCCTGCTTGACCTCCATGCTTTTCTGACAAAGGCAGTGGATTATGTCCACCTAACTTGACTTGGGTATTGTCACTATTGTGCCTATGAATCGTTGCCATGACGTTCCACAGAGGGTGGGAACGCAATAGAACCACCAGTTTTGGTCATGGCCTTGTATGCAGCATCTTGATGTGGTCATTGCCTTCTTCACCTTTCTTCTTTCCCACTGGAAGTGTTGACGTGTTCATAATTGTTCCTCCAATCCACGGCTGTTCCCTTGCTATCGTGTTTTAGTGCTGAGTTGGTATTGTCTCAAATAGCTTCCCTCTCTGCAAGGTTCTGTTTTTCGCTTTTTAACCCCTTTGTTGGATATTCATACTCTTGTAGTCTGTGCCGACTCTGTATGCAGGATTCACTCTCTGCAGCTGGGAACCAATTGTTGCTCAAAGCTAGCCAGCCTCTTACAGGCAATAGCTAGTGTACTTGTTGTCTTTCAAGTGGACCATGGAGCGGAGAAAACTTGTCCAAGCTGAGGTTGCATGGCATGGTTGGGGGAGACTCCTGTACTTCTAGAAGAGGGAGACGGAGGAAGGAAGAAAAAATAGCTGCTATCTTTTCGGTCCACTGGGAGCCGTCAGATTGACGACTCCCTACACTTCACTAGATCTGCAGATCATTCTTTTGGGCATCATGGCAGCAAAGAGATGGGATGAAGGAAGAATGGCAGTGGCCGGTGGTTCGATGGAAAACACTGCCACTGCCGCGCTGGTTTTTCTTTTGGGCCATATTCCTCGGGTAGCAGGCGGGGCAAAAGATGTGGTCATCCAGAAGGCAAACTTTGCGGTTTTGTCAGGACATCTTCAGAATATGCATGCAGTCTTCGAAGAAATCGCAGGTCATACGATTGATGACGACTCCGAGACCAGGGAGGCCTTGCAGAAACTGCAGGCAGAAATAATCATGGCACAAAAGCTGGTTGACGAATGTGTGCGCAAAAGCAAGTTCTTCTTGCTCTTGAAATGCCGACAGTATGCCAAGCGCCTTGAGATTACGACTCGTGAGATTGGACGGTGCTTAAGTCTTCTTCTGGATTCCGGCATAGAAATGTAAGGTGCTCTCCAAAGCACACACACTGTCCTCATCCTTCTTGCTTCGATTTCTCGCTCTCTTCTCCTGCTTCTTCCTCTCCCCTCTCCTCTCTCCTCCTCACCCTTGTCCTTCTTTTCCCGTTTCTCCCCTTTTTTACTTCTTTCCACTTCTCCTCCTCCCTGGTCCTTCCTTCTCTTCTGATCTTTCTTTCCTCGTCTTTGTTCCTTCTGTCGTACTCCATCCCCCTCCTCCAGCACTCCCTCGCTCCCCTCCTCCTCCCCCCCTTTATCTCCCCAACCCAACCATTTGCTCCCCCTTCCCCGACTGCTTCATTCCTCTCCCTTTCGATCTCCTTTCGCTTGTTAAACACGGCTGCTGATACGGGTGGTCATCTTCTTTTTTGGCTCTCTTCGTCTACCCCCACAGCTGGCAACCTTCCCATCCGCTTGGGTATAGAACCTCCGTTCTCACGGCCATAGCTCGTCTCCTTATCGCCACTCCACACTTACACATCGATAGCCAGTTCTTTCCAGTCTCTTGCCTTGTCTTTCTGTCTCCGCTATTCATCATGCAAGCTGGCTTAGCTGGGAGCAGTGAATACTGCTCAACTATGAGAGAATTGTTTCAGAGTGATCTTCGGGCCACCTTTATCTCACCTACCTTGAGGTGTTGTCTTCCACCAGTTCACACATGTGTGTTGTACCAAAGTTCCAAGTGCCCCTTTCTCCTCCTCCTCTTCCTCAATATTAAACCACCTGTACTTTTCCCCGCAATTCTGGTCCGACGCGGCCGTTAACGCGCCTCGTCTTTGGGGGCTCGGCGTACTGGACGGAAATGGCTGGCAGCGCCAGACAAAAAAAGTTAAGAACGCCTTATCCGCCTCTTTTTCCCAATGGGGAGTTGTGCCACACACCAATCTAAATCGAACTGGCCCGTGCCAGTTCGTTTTAGATTGGTGTGTGGCACAACTCCCCATTGGGGAAAAGAGGCCGAAAAGTACTGGTGGTTTAAGTGGCCCATATTTCATTCCCTGATTGCACGAGCAAGAAGAGGTGATACCAGGTAGGTCAGGCTTGTTGTCTGGACTCGATGACTTCTCAGTGACGGATTGCCCATTGCGTCCTGCTTGAGATGTTAAGCCTCACACAAAGTGAAAATTGTAGGAGTTATATGATTATACTATTATATACTGGGCAATTACTGTTAGTGCAACGTATCTCCCACCCATCACTGGGGTACATGGGCCCTAGATGCCAGGATCGCAGTGTCATCTTTGCCCATAAATCTCTTACAGCTGATTGACTTCCGCCTCTCTTCCCTTTTAGGCTGATTGTGACGTAGTGTCGTGGATGTGATATGCTAATCCTCTCCCTCTCCCACCACCCTTGCCCCGTCCTACTGATATCATCCAATACTCTTTTTTTTCCCTTCCCTTTTCTTGTTTCAAACATCACAGCGTCAGGACACTATGGGGGGGGTAGTGAGAGAACCTCGCAGATTAGTGGGATGGCTCCAAATCTATTAGTGGAGAGCAGCACCTGCTGGAAATCTGGTCCAGCGTCCCATTTAGTAGTACATCAACAGGATTGTGTGAGATCATTTGTCTGGTCTGTTTTCCGGGAACCCGCTTCTTCAGCTATGTTTATCACTGCATGATGATGCTTTGTCAAAAATCCCCTGCTAGCTGGTACCCAGTGTTTTGTAATCTCGCTAGCGTATCTCCCTACCCCTACCAAGATAATTCCACGATGCTGTTATCCGCTGCAGGGAAAGGACGCATGAAGGCTTCAGCTGATGCCACTGAAAATTAGGGTCTCCGTTAACCTTCTCGGGGTCAAATTTTATGTTTCTTGATTTTTTTTTTTTTGGCCTGTTCTTGTTTTGGTTCAAGGTTGCTGTGTGCCAAATTTTGTGTCATTTGGAGAATTGGAATTTCCTCTGTTAAGATTTCTGAAATTTCTCAAGATTTTTTTATTTTTTATTATTATTATTATTATTTTTTTAATAAAACAGGTCCTTATGGCCCTGGCTTCATTTCCATTCTGGGAGCATCAATCCGGTTACTATTCCACCGGCAAGTCAAAAGAAGTAATACAGCTTGAAAACTTCACACACGCTTCCTTCCGTACGGCCGAAGGAACCCTGACCAGCATTGATTACTCCATGTATGGAGGATTGACTGTCAGCTTCCCTGGCTAAAAGCCTTTCCTCTCAGGTCCACTGGAGGAACCTGTCAGATAGAAAATAGAACCAAGAAAGGCCCTTAACAGCAACGACCACTCCATCCCTCAGCCTTCCCAAAAAAAAACTGTCTATTGTCCATCAAGCTGCCTTAACCCTATTTGCATTATTTAGATGAAGGTGTAGCCTCTGTTGCCTTAAACCGGTTGGCTAAAAACCTAAGCCCTGAACCCTTGCTAAAACCCTTAAGCCCTGGACCTGTCAGTTTGCCCTGTCCTGTCCTTTGGTTTCAGCCTTGCCCCACCTCATTGCGTCCCCAGCCTTTGGACCTTGACCTTCGAGTTTCGTTGTGGGTTCCTGTTTCTCCATGTATTCTTAGGCCCTTCTGGCTAACTTATCCTGTCTTGGGCAATCTTCACAGCGTCTGGGTCTGAGCGAAGTTTCCTCCTCCAAGTTCCCGCTTTCGAAGTCCTTTAGCAATGTCTTTGTTCTCGTACCTGATGCCTGGTATCTAATGTGTCACCTTTCTTCCTTCAGCTCATCAGCCCGTCAGCTTCAGGTGTGGTCTGGAGTCTTCGGCCTGTTTCTGAATTGTGCCAGTCTTTCCAGCATACTCGGTCATTGCGTAACTCGGTCACCTTACCATTCGCCAGCCACTGTCTGGTAAACTTCTTCCTGATCTTTCCTTGCTGGTCCTCGTCCTCAGGCATCGACAGCCTTAACCTCTGCCATCTGCAGAGAATTTCAGCCTGTAGTATAGATTTTGTCTCCGCCCATACCTTCTCTCTTGGGTTGGACAGTCCTTCAATAGTCCTGGAGCATCTTTCCTTCCAAATGATCCATAGAGTCACTTTCCTGATCAGTCCGAACCACAACCTCTCTGTTTTCTGAAGATGATCGGGGATGTAGGATTTGGATGGGGTGCTCAGGGAAGGGGGTGTGGAAGAGGGAGTCCCAGAGGCCTGAGGCCCGTGCCCAGTAATCTGTCGCCTCGCTACATTGGATTAGACAGTGGACTATGCCTTCTTAATTCCCTTCTGCACAGACTATGCATAGATCCGAACTGTTGGGATCATTCTTGTGGCATCTTATATATATGTAGCCATTGATTCACAGATAGTGCCTCGTACGTAATGAGCGATTGGAGGCTCGTGATTTTTATGGGTCTGATAGTCTTAAATTTCTTCCAGGGGATGTGTGTAATTTTATCGGCTTCCTGGCCTATTAGTTTTTGCCATCTGTTTTTGATTATAGGATCTGGGTCTTTTGTTTTGACAAGAAGTTTGTAACCGAGCTTAGCTGTATAGTCGTATATGGGGACCTTGGACTTGACATTCCTTTCCTTGTCCGGTGTCCAGATCCATTCTGCCGGGTCGAATTCCAGGTTTTGGACTGACGTGTCTGTTTCTGAAGATCGATTTAGGCCACAACCCTAGTACTCTTACCTTCCTGAGTAGAAAGAAGTCCATGACTATCACTTCCACTTCTCTGTTTAATATAGACGCTGTTCTGTGTTTAGAAGGGGAAATCGGGAAAGAGGAGAAGAATGCTGTGGTTGTCGAGCCCGGTTGCATGTGGGAGAATTGGAAAGCTCGTGAAGGAGGGGACTCTTGTATCTTAACCCCCCATTCTCCAGATTTCCATGGCAACGCTTCACACAAGATGTCTTTCCAGTCTTGAGGAATGAGGTTGATAATGTATTGGAGGTTAGAACCACGCCTGTGACATCCCGTGATGTTTTATATGTTTTTTTAACTTTTTTATTATATTTTTTCGGATTTTTTGTTTTGCAGTTAGTTAGTATGGTCTCCTTTCTATGAACTGGTGGCAAGTTTGATTAAAATGACCCTTTGGTTTTCTTATAAATGGCATGGCAAGTGGTCTGAAAATTGGGTCTCCGTTAACCTTCTCTCGCCAACCCATCTGGGCAGTGTTCATCCATCCAATCCAATATGTGTATGTGCACGCCTGAAGTAAACCTGATCCCTAAGAGTGGTGGGAGAGAGAGAGAGGATTATCCAATACGTGTATGTGCACGCCCGAAGTAAACCCCATACCTGTGCATTTGGGAGTTATCCTGGTTGATGGGATGTCCATCCCTTTCTGGAGACTGGAACTGGTAACCAGACCCCATCCCAAAACCCACTTCCAAACATTGCCAATCCCTGTCTTTTCTCTCCCTTCTTTCCACCCCCCCTCTTGCCCCGAATCCCTTCTCCTTACTCACCCACCCAGTCTCTGCCCCTCCATCCCCCGACAGTGCCACCTCTCTCCCCCATCTTGCCCCTTGTTTCGATTTGTCCTTGCTAATAGCTTCATAGCCATCAAAGTAAGATCTCACTGGCTGGAGTCCACCAAAGACTGCCCTCGCAACCTGAACGTTGAAGAGAATGACCTTGCTTTTTACCTTCGAGTTTGTGAGCCCTGGAGAGCCCTGCCGGCCTTCAATTTTGGAATAGCAGACAATGAGTATCAATCATCCTGCTTAGTCATGAGTGATAACTGTAGCATAGAAATAATCACAAGATGCTCTTCTGACACTCTCTCATATGCTCATAGCAGTTTTTCTGTGTCTCTCTGTCGACGCTTTCTTCCCCCCTGCCTGGTTTTTCCTTCGTCGCTGGAACACTCCGCCAGGTTTCCTGCGGAGAGAGAGCAAATACGAGCCATTGAAAACCAAATGCAGACCGTGGAATTTCATGCAGGGGAGCTAGAGGCCTCCATTTGCGACAAGCTTGAAAAGGCCTTGACAGAAAGAAGGGACGACATCGAGTTGGTGAACAGCCTGCTGGAAGAAATAGCTCAGGTGTGTGGAATCCCTGCAGAATCCAGCTCGCTGACAACAGAGCTTGCCAGTTTCCGAATGGAGAAGGAGGAGGTGCTGAAGAAGAAGGATATGGCAGATGGAGCATATCTCGAGCAGGTCATCGCTTTTCTGAGCAGAGGAGATGCAGCCAACTCGGCGGGTCAGGTTCAAAGAGAGTATCTCTTAAAGAGGAGCAGTATTTGCGATGGGATGATATCAGTCCTGCCACCTTTGCAGGCATTCCTTTGTCCGATAACAGGTGAAATCATGCAAGACCCTGTCTCTCTCGAGACGGGGCAGACATATGAGAGGAGTGCTATTGAAGAATGGTTTGGCTGTGGCAACCTGACTTGTCCTGTCACCGGCGCTGCCGTGATGAAGGATGGCAATGTATCACTCCAACCAAATCGTGCTTTGAAGGATTCCATACACGAATGGCGTGATCATAACTACGTGATCACTATTCGCTCTGCAAGAGTGCTGCTAGAGTCGAAAAATGTGGAGCAGCAGGCAAAGGCTCTCCGCGGTCTTCATCAGGCATGCATGGAAAGGGCAAGTAACCGTTGTTGGGTGAATGCAGAGGGGGTTCTGCCGGCATGCTCGGACGTTCTGAAGTCAGAGAACAAGGGGCTGCGAATAGTAGCATTGCAGGCTCTTCTCACCATTGTGAAGGACCATGACAAGAATAAGGTGGGTTCAATGTGTACGTGACCTACTCTGCTGTTTCCTTAACTTTCTTCTCACTTTCATGTATGCATCTTCTCTGTTCTTTTCTGTTTCTTCTTTGTCACTTCCCTGTTTTCTCTGTGTTCGTCAGTTGTGGTTCTAGTACCATTTTACTGCTCCCATTGTACTTGTTGTATCTGATGCACATCTAGTCTATTGTTATTATCGGATTTGCTTTGCAACTTTGCACACTCCTGAGGAAGCCGAATGAATGCCTCCATCGAGTTCTAGGGCTGGAGCTGACCTGGGCTTAGGATCCTGTCTTCAGCACTCGTGTGCCTGACTGCATTTTGTTATCAAAGTTTATTTGAGTTAACTTAGTCTTTGAGTTCTTGACACTGCGCAGTAGTCTTCGACTTCTTGACACTGCGCAGTAGTCTTTGACTTCTTGACACTGTGCACTTGTCTTTGACTTCTTGACACTGCGCACTACCGTCTTCACCCGAATAGAACGCCCGGTAATTATCGCCATATCTGGGCTGAAAGTTGTGCCAAATACAGCTATAATGACCGGGCGTTCTATTCGGGTGAAGACGGTTGGGGAAGAGATGGCGGAAGGTGGAAGGTAGTAAACTGAAATTTGCCTCAAGTCCTTCGGGACATCCGTTAAAATTGGAACGATACGTACATCTCAGAGAGAGATAAATGTCTAGAAATATGTAATTGGCGGATGAAAAAAAAAAATTGGAACGATACAGAGGACGGTGATTAGCATGGCCCCTGCACAATCAAGGATGACACGCATAAACCGAGAAATGGTCCAAATTAAAAAAAAAAAAAAAAAAAAAAAGCCTGAAAGGCCAAAAAGAATTTGAGAGAAGAAGAAAAAAAACGGGCTGCAGCTAAATTTGGACGGCGGCGTTTGGGCGCTGGGGGATCGCGCTCGGGGTGACAACAACAGTTGACCACGATTGCCAAATCTTGGCGCAAGCTCGGCTGTGGTGGCATGGGGAAGTGCGTGGGAACGCACAGCGGGGTGCGCCGAAGGGGTCTGATCGGCTCCTGGCTGGAGCTCATCTCGGTTGACATTATGTCAGGAATCCTGTCCAAGCCGAGGAAGGACAGTTGTTGAGTGGTGGGGACGGCTTGAAAGCGGGATCCGGACGTCGACCAGGGGCTCTTTTGCCCCTCGGTCTTCGATACGGAATGGCCGCTGGGTTATCTCGCTCCTGTTATGGGAGTGACCTGCGGTGCGTGTTTTTTTTTTCTTGGCGTTTTCTGTGGTGCGGAGAGGGGCACCTTGTCTGCTCTGTTGGGGGCAACCTGAGGCAATTTGGGAGGAGCAGACGGGGTTCTACGGGGATGATACGCTGGAGATGGAGGAGGAAAGGGCATCGATAAAACGTCTCCTTCAGGGAGAAACAACGTTATTTTGCCATCACCGGTATCGCCCACCGTCGATGACAACGGGCTTCAAGCTGCGAACAGGATTTTTCCTTGTTGTTGCCTCAAGCTGCAAACGGACGGATCCTTCGCCGTTGTGGCTAAAGCTCCTGCTTCGGGCGTGATGTCAATTTCTTTTTCCAAATCTTTGGTGTTCTGACCGGTTGCTCTCTCATTACTTTGACGATTCGTCGAGAGAGAGAGAGAGAGAGAGAGAGAGAGAGAGAGAGTTAGGGTGAATAGTTTAATTCCTTTTGTTGCACTGTTTGTGTTTAGGTTGGAAGATATATATATATAGATAGATAGATAGATGGATAGATAGATAGATAGACAGACAGATAGATAGATGGAGAGAGAGAGAGAGAGAGAGAGGAGACACTTCGGTTGATTTGCCTTTTTCGATGGTATACTTATGTGTATAGGGTTTATGGTGCATGGCGGTCCAGTTTTCGGGCTTGACCGATGATGTCTCGCCCTTAAGCAGGACCGCGGAACTTTTTGTAAGGGATGCCAGGCCCGATTCCTGGCACTGAAATGTAAGGGATGCCGGGCCCGGTTCCCGGTTGTTTTGAAAAAGAAAAAGAAAAAGAAAAAAAAAAAAAAAAAAGTTGACAATTGATTGCCGGGATAACTCCGGGTTGAATTGTGAGGTCCCCGGCCTCGTTTTCTACAATTGAAATATGAATTATAATTTAGGAAAAAAAAAAAAAAAAAATTGCCGGCTGGCTCTTAGATGCCAGCTAAGTACCTGGGCACTCGTCTCTCTCTCCTTAGTACGCGGGCAGCAGTGGACGTTAAGAGGGGATAGGAGGGCGTGTGCTATCCTTTCGAAGGAACTGACGTAGGTTCCAGCCTACCAAGTTAGGAAGGTTAGAGGCTCAAAGGAACTGACATAGGTTCCAGCCTACCAAGTTAGGAAGGTTAGAGGCTCAAATACTTCGGCATAGGATAGAACTCCTGAATCTTGCTATGTTTTACGCAGAGATACAGAAAAGCAGTTCTATCCGATGCTCTTTGCTAATGGGACCACCGCCCAGCAGCCAACAACAGTACGCTGCCACGGTCATTTCTGTTCGTGTTTTGCATTTTTTGCTACAGTATTGTTGTTCCAGGGGGGTTGGTCCCATTAGCAAAGAGCATCGGATTGAATGCCTGAATCTGGACGTGTTTGAGGCCAGGAGCAGGAAATCGAGATAGAACTGCTTTTCTGTATCTCTGCATAAAACGAAGCCAGATTCAGGATTTCTATCCTATCCCCTTCGCTAGTGGGACCACGGCCCAAAGGGGTTGGTCTCATGCAGTGCTCCTCCCTGTAAGCGGAACGGGGTGTCGCTCCCAGATGATCTTTATTCCGGGTAGACTGTGAGGACCCCGGCCTCTGGTTTCCATGGATAATACATAATACAAGCCTTGCGCATTGGGCCATATATCTATCTATCTATCTATCTATACAGAAAAAAAAAAAAAATCGTCCAACTGAACGGCTGATAAAAGAGTTAGGGCCTGCCCCCACTACTCAGCACCTGTACCTGGCCAGGGCTTCGGCCAAGATACATTCTAACAAATAGAACGTTTTGGATTCGAACTGAGGTCAGCTAAAAGAGTTAGGGCCTGCCCCCACTACTCAGCAAGGTCCAGAAACATTTAGAAGTCGTGCAACGGGAGTCCTCGCCGTAATTTATTCATCTAATTCCTTCCGCTGGATTCGAACTGAGGTCAGCTAAGCAACAATTGCTGGGCGTACTATTCGTTCTTCTTCTTTTTTTCTTTGGGAGGAGGGGGGGGAGGGGAGTGTAGCATTTCAGCCAAATGACTGGGCAGGGGCCAAGTCCCACTAGCAGCGTTGAGCTACCTCAACGCCTGAATCTGGACGTGTTTGTGGAGACGTGCAGTGAACTGCACGTCTCCACAAACACGTCCAGATTCAGGCGTTGAGGTAGCTCAACGCTGCTAGTGGGACTTGGCCCCAGAGGATCTGATCTCGTGAGGGCAGAATGGGGCGGGATAAAAAATAAAAGTGGGCGGGAGGCCGGCGAAGGGAGAACGGGAAAAGAAAAAAAAGGAAAAAGAAAAAACAAAAAAGAACGGGAAAAGGCTCCGAGGGCGATAGCGAACAGGACCGAAAAGACCCCAGACACCAACGGGCCTAGCTCATTCCTATATTGGGCCTTCGCTCAGCTCGTCAAATGCGCAAAATAAGAACGAATCTCCCGCTAGAACATGGGAAGATTCATTGAGAATCACCTGGGCCGAGGTGCCACTAGCAAAGAAGCTAGGATCAAGCTCCTGAATCTGGATGTGTTTCATGCAGAAATGCAGAAAAGCAGTTCAATCTCGATTTCCTGCACATCTGCACCTCTCCACAAACGCGTCCAGATTCGGGCATTTGATCGAATCCTCTTTGCTAGTGGGACCACATCCCTGTAGCCCGCACCCTTTCAGTAAACAAAAACAAATGGAAAAAGAAAACAAAAACAAAAACAAAAACAAAAACAAAAAAAAAACATAAGACTGATCGGGCCTCCGAGGAGGTGATCCATCCAGCAAAAAACGCCAGCTAGAGCGGGGTCCCCCTAGCGACGTGGATTGAAATGAGCGCCCGAATCTGGACGTGTTTTTGGCGCGGTGCGAAAAATCGCGATTGATCTGCTTTTCTGCATCTGCGGTTAAAACCCGTACAGATTCGGGCCCTTAATCCAATCCGCTGCGCTAATGGGACCTTGTTTCTGTAGTCCTTCGAATTTTGATGGCAAATCCTTCCGACCTGAAAATCGCTAAATTTCCGGCCGAGTTTCCGTCAGTCGACAGAGAGATTCTTCTGTTCAACTAACTACCTGCATCTGGACTCGATCCGGGGTCTATACTTCGACAGTTCATTGGCGTATCGACTGACCTGGGCCCATGGCTGACAGAGATATTCTGAGCATACGGCCAATAGCAGGCATGCAGGCAGCTCCACAAGTCAAAGTGCAGATGAGGTCCTCCCGGAGCCCAAAGGACCCCGAAACGACGCTCGGAAACATGATGAGAGAGAAAGCGAGAGGCGTGTTTGTGTGCGCGTGTACGAGAGAGAGAAACATGATGAGAGAGAGAGCGAGAGACGTGTTTGTGTGCGTGTGTACGAGAGAGAGAGAGGCAAAAAGAGAGAAAGAGTGAGAGAGAGAGAGAGGGAGGGAGGACGTGTTTGTGTGTGTGTAACAGATACAGAGAGGACGTGTGTGTGTGTGTGTGTGTGAGAGAGAGAGAGAGAGAGAGAGAGAGAGAGAGAGAGAGACCAACTCCTGTCTCTGGACAACCCTAAGAGGTTCGTGCATTCTGGGCATAACCCAAGGCAAGGTCCGCTCAGTGGTTCAAGAGCGAAAAGTAGAAAAAAATAGGACGTCCTTCGGGACATCCGTTAAAATTGGAACGATACAGAGGAGGATGATTAGCATGGCCCCTGCGCAAGGATGACACGCATAAATCGAGAAATAGTCCAAAAAAAAACAAAAATAAAAAATAAATGAATAAAAAATGGTCCAAATTATTATAATAAAAAAAAAAGAGGACTCTGGGGCTGAAGGGCTGTTCCAAAGGGGTACGAATGATTTTTTTTGCTTTTTCTTTCCGATTTATCGAAGGGGTACGAGTGAATGCCAGCAAACGACAATGAGCGTTTTGCTGAATGAATCTCTTCTACAGAGTGGGGGAAGGGGGGGGGAGTAGAGCGGGGCGGCTGGGAGATAAAATTATGATTCGGAGTGACGCCCTTGGGAAACGGTGGAGCGATGTACACGTCTTCCCCCGAACAGTACACATTAGCGATCCCGACTGAATTATCCCAGCTTTGCGTCCACGTGCAGG